GAGAAATTTAATGGTTTCAATCTGCCCTTGTTTTTTCTTTTTCTTTTTATTTTTATTTTTGCATGTTATCACTGTGCCCGTTTTTTGCTTTTATTGTAGTTATGTGACAATATATATATATAGAAGAGGGGAGGGGGGGGGGGTTGCAAAATCGCCCTGATGAATTGAAAACAAAGAACAACAGTTACCTGCTAAGGGCATCCAATGACTCAGTGGACTCTCCATCAAGCACTGCTGCAATTCTTTTCAGCACCGAATAACCCTGGAGGCACACACGCAAAGCAAGCAATCAAGGCATTCACCCACGGTCCATTATCCTCGTTTCCTTTTTGCCTGGGAAAGGGGACAGAGAAAGGAAGGAAATAACGGATCCGTCCCACCGCAGTGGAATTGCACGACCTTTAAAAAAAACAAAAGAAACAAAAAAGAAAGAAAGAAAGAAAGAAAGAAAGAAAGAAAGAAAGAAAGAAAGAAAGAAAGAAAGAAAGAAAGAATTGCACCTCCTACATCATGGAGGCCTTTTGGATACAACAGATCTATGGCCCACAGTAGTTAACTAGCATTGCTTGTTTCTAGTGCAGTGGAGCAATCCCCTAAGAACACAACAAGCACCTTGATTGAGATTCCTTGCGTCGAAGTTTTTCGAAAATCACCAAATTAGAACACCCACAGGGGTTGACATGAACAGAAAAACGAAAAACGAAAAACAACAACACCCACAGGGGTTGAATGCCTGCAAAATGGTGCAAGGATCCTTACTTTCTTGACAAAATAATCTTTGAGAAAATAGCAACAGTACAAAAGCCCACTTTTTGCTCTAGAAGCACACCCCTTGCTGACATTCCAGTCTGCATGCCCATACCATTTCCAAACCTGGGTCCTGCACTGGTTCAGTCTGCTGGAATCATCTCTTAAACCACCAGTACGTCCACGTTCTTAGGCCGTTAACGCGGTGGCTGAATCGGCCTGCCGCGCAGGGCTGTATTCATCCGTGTCAGGGAGGGGAAAAAAAGCAATCATCTCTTAACAGGGAGAAAAAAAAAAGGGGTTATCTGAACTTATCTCATGGGAATGATTTCTCCAATGTGTTCCAATGCCAAGGGGAGCCATGGTCAGATCCTTTAAAATAGGTTACGATGGTTCAATCTTTTGATCAATTATGATAACCACTGTAAAGACCATCAGAACGCTCTATGGTAACCACATTGGTAACCTTTGTAATGGATGGATACCATGGTCAGCTCCTTGTAATAGGTTACCCTGAAGCATGTTCGTTTCGAGTCTTTACACTAGATAGGGTTACCATCGTAACGTTACCATTCTACATGGTAACTACATGGGTAACCTTTCTAATGGAGGGTTACCATGGTAAGTTGCTTGTAATAGGTTACTATGAAGTATGTTGGTTTGAGTCTTTACACTAGTTAGGGTTACTGTCGTAACGTTACCATTCTACATGGTGACTACATGGGTAAACTTTGTAATGGGTGGTTACCATGGTAAGTTCCGTGTAATAGGTTACCCTGAAGTATGTTGGTTATGACTCTTTAGGCTACTTTGGGTATCCATCATGATGTTACCATTGTAACCCTACATGGTTAACCTTTGTAATCGATGATTACCATGGTAACTACATGGTTAGCCTTTGTAGTGGATGATTACCATGGTAAAGGTTTTGCCCTCATGTATATTGGTTTTCAACTTTTCACAACATTTCGGTCTTTTGTTGTTTTTTTGGGGGGGGGAAATTGCATCTGCAGATTCTGCACCATATTTAAAGATGGTAATACCCGCCATACCCAGTCCCAGTACCCAACTTGCATCTATACCTGGGAAACGGCCGGTGGAAATTATTTGTGTGGGCGAGACTGAGGTAACCCATGTTTGGTACCAACAAATTGTGATTATAACCCACTACAGTAATGCTCAACTTACGGACATATCCAGGCCAAATTATGGGCATGCACAAGACTCAGGTCACTCAGGTGGACCAGCCAAACCGTAGTTATACCCAACCACCCAGAAGGGCCAGGAACCAAACTTATCCTCATACCCAGGGGGCAATCGGCCAAAGCCGTCCACTGGGATATTGCTGTTATACCCTTGTACCTGCCTACTAGCCAAGAGGGTTGGACTTAACTCCTGAATGCGGATTTGTTTCCCGAGAGGTGCAGAGAATTGCAATTTCTGATCTCCATTAAACTCACACAATTCAGTTGCTTAATCCAATCCTCTGTGCAAGTGGGACCTCGCTGCCTTCTCTCTCTCTCTCTCTCTCTCTCTCTCTCTCTCTCTCCTCCCCCCCCTTGTGTCGCCAGGCACGCATGAGAGAGACAGCAAGATCTCATGCGTGCCTGTTGACACAGGAGTCTCTCTCTCTCTCTCTCTCTCTCTCTCTCTCT